GCAGCCCCCTCTGTCAAGGTACAAGCAAAAAAATCCATCACAATAAACCACTTCCGAATCGATGGTTTTTCATTTCCATTGTCAAATTCACAGCGTCAATTACTCTGCGAAACATGTCGTCTTGCGCTATACAAACTTGCAAATAAATCTTTGTATCCAGTGTAGCTAAGGGTGGAATTACATACCATACATAAGTCTATTTTTTACATTAGTCAAAGTCAAAGTCAAAGATTATTTATTCCATAGGTAAAATAAATTTACACTTGAAAACGTCACATTTAAGCTACATTTAAGCTACTGCTCGTTCACTACGCTGACCTCCCTGAGAAGAACGAGCAAGAAACTCTAGGGATTGCTCTTTTCAAATAAACTTAAATGCTATGGAATACACTTTGAATCAAATTTGTGTGGATTCTGGAGCCATGTCGTCTTTCCATACATCTTTATCTAACACGTAGTCTTCAATTTTGTAATATGATTTTTCGATCAAAATATTTTTAATGTAGTTTTTAAACTTAGGAAATGATAAACATAATATATGCTCCGGAATCTTATTGTAAAAACGTATACAGTTCCCCATAAAAGAGTTGTTTACCTTGGTTAAACGAAATCGTGGTACCATGAGTTTGGACTTAGCTCTAAGGTTAATATTATGGATATCTTCTTTCTTATTGAAATTATGTAAATTTTTACGGGCATATAAAATATTTGAGTAAATGTACTGTGATTAATTGCTGATTTCCTATGTTAAGACAATTTTTTCACTGATTTAATTTAATTGAAAAAGCATTGATTTAATTTATCGATTACCTAAAAATATTTGAAAACATTCGAACATTGGTTTATGTATTCACTATTAAATAATGGTCTCATAAAAAATGTACGACGTGGGTGTACCTAAGGATATTGTCTAAAGAATGTGCTAATTTGTTACGCGATAGGGTGTACTTTAATCTAGAAAACAGGATAAAATAAGTCTATACGATACGCCGCGATGTCTTATCTTATCTGTGTCAAATTTTCTCCGCCTGTCTAAATTTTTTTTCATATTAATATTGGCCGCGCGGATTGCGGGACGCGAGTGGTTACCCCCCAACCCTCACCTCACCTTCTAAAAATTAGGATCACGTTGAATTACCTGGCGTTAAAACTATTTCAAACACTCTTAACATAAATGACGTAAGGTAAACATTATTTGAACAAAAAGGATGACACATTTATACGTGCTATGGGTGCGGCTCGTTATACACAATCAATTCACAGTTCTATAATAATGGTAAACTAAAGTTTACCATGAATTGTGTCATATTTGCCAGCAGCTAACTGACAGCATTTATGCTGCCCACTGTATAATAAATAAGTAACGTAGTAGACGTAGCGAAATTTTAAAAGTTTATTCGCGAAACGAGATCTAGAACCCCCTGTAAGCGGTTGTTTATATCTTATTTAGTTTCTGTTTGTTTGTTAAATAAAATCTGCTGATTTAATTGACATGTTTCAAAGTAAAAAAAACTTTAGACGCCATTATCTCGATAGTTACCAAAATTTTAATGCGCTAGTTATGACAAGAATGGGCACAGTATGATAGAAGTAAAAAGAGCGCCTTTGTGATTGTTTATGAAATTATAATTGACAGATTAAATACAGCAGTAGAAAAACACATTTGTTTTAAATAGGTTTCATAAGTAAGTAGGTAACGGAAGGGAATGAAGCTTATATCAAGTCCACGAAAAGTAAAAAAATTATAAGTCTTAAAAGTTTTCAGTTCAAATGAAAAATGCAGTATGGCAGATGTTACGTAAATTTTATAAAACCTACTTTCTCCGTTTCGCTAAAATTATTTTTCGAATTAGGTCACTTTCTTATGGATGGTGCCATTATGTTCTATTGTAAATACATGTCATGTGTACACGGTCGATAGTTAAACGTTGCGATGCATTTGATTTGTAAGGCCGGCCACATACAGTTGGAATTCCGTTTTGAAATTCCGTATCGGAACTTCGATTCGAGATTCCGTATATACATCACATACATACGTTTATTTCCTTTCGGAATATAAGACTCAGCGTTGAGTCCAGATGATGTAAAAATACGTACGGAATTTGCGACCCTATAAAATCTAATAAAGACTTTCATTCTGTGCTGAATTCCTCATGCACAAACGACCTTACGGAATTTCGAATCGGAAAAAAATTCGAACGCAATAGTACTATATATGTGTGTTTTATGTCCGTGATGTTGTATAGTTTTGCTACCTTCGAAACTCCGAAATGGAATTCCGTAACGGAATTTTGAAACGGGACACCGACTGTATGTGACCAGCCTAACTATTGCAAAAGTGTTAGCTATGCAACGTTCAAACAAACCAACATTCCGTTTACAACTCTTTCAAAGTGGAGGGTGGAGGAGAGGCAAGGAATCTTTTCGCAATAGCGTACTATTCATGTCCACTGTACATCTGGTGCACAATGAGCAACAAATGGCGAGTATGTATGTATGTATGTACGCTAATTGGGCAAATCCTTTCATTAAGATGGCAAACACGTCCCACATTTCAGCATGGCGGCTATTACTAGTGAGGCAGGTAGCGGTAATAACTTACTGGGCCACAATATTATAGTGTATGCCATACCGATACGATAAGAAGAGCTGGAGGGTCAATTTCGATAGACGATGACGTTGTAAATTTCAAATACAACATTAAAATGTTGTTTTATTATATCATGTTATGTTTATCACATTAATTATGTTGACGAGTATACGTACCGTTATTACCATAATGTTTTATATTTATAAAATCATTTAGTATATACATCCTGGTTGATATTTATTAGTATAATAACAAATATTTACATAATATAAAACAAAGACAATAGCCTTGGTTTCGGCAAACTTAAACTAAATTTAATTTAAGTTGATCCGTGTCTTTTGTTGCTAGTAAGAAAAAGACGAAGTCTGATTTTAATTCCAAGCCGTCGAATTCGTTGCCGCGCATAGACTGCGCCAAAGTTTTTTGGTGACAGGCATTGACTTACAAAGTGACAGGTATTTATTTGCATTAACGCTAAAATGTACGAGATATTGTCAAAATTTTACAACTTACCTAGGTTTTTTACATTTACGGATATTAGTCGTTACGATTATTTTCTTTGTATGATTTTTTTCTTTGATATGTTTAGTTTTTAAAGCCAATCTCCCTCCTCTCAAACTTCAGCTGCAAACCAGCTGAGGCTCTGCCCAGTATTAATTTAAGTTTTTCGGTTTTTTATTCTTTTAAACTTAAAAAAAAAAAATTACGAGGTAGATGTACTGTATTTAGAGTTTAGTTCGCCTGAATTGACATCAGATTTACTATTTAGGAAGAGGAAATAAAATGGTGGAAGATTTGAAGGCTTTTTTTTCCTTCACCATTGAAGGTCGCTACCTGGGGTTTCAAGTTACAATCCCCTTTTATTTACTCTATTGGTTCCTTGATTACTATTTGTATATTATTGATGTTGTTTCTATAATAATAAAAATAATAATTATCGTTTACTGCCCACTGGGATGCACGGCAGGAGCCTCCCCGCACAACAATTCGTTTTCTGTACGTCTAGCGCACCTTGGGCAACAATCAGCGAGTGCCTTACGCCGATTGGCAAAATGGCAAATTCTACCACCACAATGGCAAACATGTATGTACGTGTATGTCATTATAGTGTAGAAGCAGTACAACTCTTTGTGAACTAGTTCATCCTAGGAAGTACTGCCACCTTACTTCTTTCTGCCGCCAAGCAGTAACGTGACCATTGAGAAGAATAAAGGACCTTAGATTCAAGAACCGGTGAACAATACGTGCAGTATCGAACAGGTTGGCCTTCTGCATATTTATCATTATTATGAAATACATATACACTTTCCAGACTTATTTTTAATATTCCTATTCGAGTTAAATTCTAATCTTTTTTATAGGTAATAATAGTGTTTTTTAATAAATTTAATAGAGAATTGTCAACAGGCAACAATCTTTTTAGTGGCAGAGTTCATCCGGGGTTGTACTGCCACCTTACCTATGTCTGCCGCCAAGCAGCAATGTCAGCGTGTGGTCTGTGTTCCGTGTGTCCCTGTGTTCCGGTTTTGAACGGTAAGGGTGCTGGTGAAATTACAGGCACATGGGACTTTGACAACTTGTGTCTTAGGGTGGCGCAGTGGCAGTGCCCTTAAGGTGTTTGGTCTGAGTGGCACTGTCACTGTTATGGACAGGCGTGTAGCTTACCATCAGGTGCACGACTTGTTCGTCCCGTCACCTGGTATTATTAAAAAAAGGCATTGATACGATAACAAGAAGACTACCCACCAAGGGCGAGGCGTGACAATTGTCTTTAGTACAGCCGGCGAAGTAAATGGCGCTTTGGCGACAATTAAACACAAAATTTATAAGTAGGTACACAAGATACTAGTATACTTTATTTCACTGGCTAATTATTTTACACGTAAAATTGAAAAAAAAAAATGTAATAAGGTACTTTAAAATATTTTGTAATTGGTAATTTTAGGCAAGCCGATGGGAATCGAGTTATGTGGACGCCTCGCCACTGCTACCCACTAACAAGTAGGTACCAACAGCCAAACAGGTTATACTCTGGACTTTTGTTTTCAGTTCAGATTCCATGGACACTTTGAGACAAATATTTTGTGTATGTACACAATAAATTATTTAGAAATACATTTTCGAAGAAGGTAGCCGAATGTAAAAGATACGCGGCAAATGTAGTTTTCCGTTACTTCCTACTAAGTAAGAGAATAAATTTCTTAGATATGCCGATAGGAACTATGTAAATAGACCCTTTGCCAGTGCAAACTGCAACAATTTTAGGAGTACCAAGTGATGGTACTATGGTATGGATGACGAAGACGTAAATAAAGTACATAAAGAAAGTTAGTAAACAACAAGAATCACAAACAGCTAATTCAAATACAAATTCCACATACAGCTAACAACTTTTACTTTCGATACTTACGAAAAAACTGGTTTAGCAACACCTTGTACACACAGGCACACACCGTTAAACTTTACTATACGTGTACACAAAACATTCCAGGTCACAGTAAAGTTTTTGAACTTATTTGAACACAATAACTCAAGATTTTATTAACAAAAGTAATACGATACACAGTTTTTATTTAAAACTTGAAACAAAACTATCGAATTCCTTTGTATTCTTTTTTCAAAAACACTAAACAAAACTTCTTTTTGGAAACGCAATGATTCATATAAATTGAAATGTCACAAGTGTATGAATTTAGTTAAATATTCCAATTTTAAAGTTATTTCACAAAAACAAAAGCGAAACACATACACTCACTTCGAATTTTGTCGGCTGACTGAACAAACGAACAAGGTAAGTAAAACTATGTTCAGAGTGAATGGGAGAACAAGTTGCGGCCGAAGAATGAATGACTTTGCATAAAATACTTTTAACTCTTTTGTATTTGTTGCTTTTGATGCGGTGAACCATATTTTTGTGCCCCGTCATCTGTACAGAGTCAAGAGCATGTTAAGCTTGGTACTTCAGGTTTAAATTCAACTCTTTTAGGATTGGGATAAAAACGCTCCGAAGTTCAAAGTGTCACATCACGTTCAAGTGCTCTTTTAACAATTGCCCCGTACTCTTGAGCGTACTTTGAACATCTTATTGTAGGTGACAGAAAAGTTAAAATTTAAAATTATGAACTTGGACTATGATATGATGTACGTAGGTACGTCCGTACTTTTTGTAAGTACCATTACCCAAGCATAAATTAATGGAGTACTTTGAAGTGTTACTTTTTTAAATAGAGTTGACGATATGAAATTTACTACGGAGTCTATGTATAATTGCGCAGCAAATGATATTTCTGAATTATTTTATAAAAAAATACTTGACCGCTTATACTTTTACAAATAAGGACACACAAGTCGCTTTACTTTCTCAAACTCGTATCTTAGAACAAAAAGTTACTGAAATGCAAAAAAAATGGATTGTATGCATTGACTTACAAATAAATGGACGACGGGTCTAATACAAAAACCACGAAAAAAATGTCCCAAGTCAACCTATTTAAACGTAGTGACATGTAAAGGAATATGAAAAAGCTAAAACGTTGAATTTAAATTGTAATGTCATCGCAGTACTGTCTAATTTTGCTTGCTTCGCTGTCAGTCGAACAAACGAAGCGTGAATGACGCTCTGTATACGATTTTAACGCCCTATAAGTTCGGACACTTTTTAGCGCGGACCCGACGACGTCCATATAATTGTAAGTCAATGATTGTATGTATATAAATTTTGCAGGATGATTTCACATTACGTTTCCGCTAGTGTGTAAATATTTACAAACTAGCTTTTACCTATACTTAAATTAATGCATCCAAATTATAACCCTTGATAAGAAATTTAAAATAAAAAGTTTTGCCGTCTCCTGAATAATCACTCCTTATAAGATACGAGTTTAAGAAAGTAAGGCATCGAAAACATGTTCTTTTTATTTCCACTGTACATTATTATTTTCATATAACTAAATAACAAGACTAAAATAATCGCACTTAAGAGGCACTAGGAGGATGAAACATCTTAGAGGAAAATGTTTAGATGACAATATCATGAGGTCATTTTCGAAGTCGCTCGATGATTTACAATCGGGAAATGATTAATGTATGATGTAAATGAAACGAGTAACATAAACAAAATAGAATGAACGAATCGCACCCTTGGCGTAATAAGGGCAACATCTGCATAATGATAACTTTTCAAAATAAAAATTCTACGAACAAAATTAATCGATAACTCTATTGTTACGTGGTAGCCTAACGGTGTGACCTACTGCCTCTCAAGCAGAAGATGTGGGTTCGAACCCGGGCTTTCGGAATTTATGCTAATAAATTGGAAATTTATTATTAGCTTTTCGGTAAAGGAAAACATCGTGTACGTCGAAAAAGGTTCACGACCATCGAAAGCGTGCGAAGTCCCCTCAAGTAAATCCTCGTAGGTGGGACGGTGGGACGTACAAACGGGTTGATGATGATAACTTTATTATGCTTTAATAGGAGAGTTATATAATTACAACATTTTTATAAAAAAATCCGACCTGAAATATTTGTGGAATCTATTTGACTAGTTTTATTGAAATCGGTTACCGGAAAGTGCGTGAAACCGGATTCATCCCCTAGTTTGCTACCCTTAGAGGTGGAATATTTTCTTCAAATTTAAATGTTACTAATACCGAGGTACCCACTTTCCAATAAAAAAGAATCATCAAAATCAGATCACAAATGTAAGTGCCGGAGTAATCGCGAAACAAGCTTTAAAAAAGACAGTCGAAAAGGGAACTTCCTCCTTTTTTGAAGTCGGGTATTTTTGAAGAATATTAAGTCTTGACATTTTTTGAAGATTTGTGAATTTTATTTTCTAAATTTTGTTTTATTGTCTCAATAATCAAAGTTTACTAATATAATATTATGTAGTAATAAAGTTACCAATGCTAACAAACCACGGACCATGCAGTGATGTGTGATAATAGAAAAATATTTTTTTAGAAACTGACTAAGTTAATTTAAAATAACCTGCGAAATAAAATTAATATTATAATTTTTCATATCGAATAGAGTTTTTTGACAAAATTGTTGTATATTATGTGGTTGTTGACGCGTGCGTCCTTTTTAAAAATCTATTTATCTCAAAAACCTTATCGTATCGATGTTCGTCATTACGGGGAGGCTATTTCACGCAAACCCACATCTTAAAAATGCTTTTTATTTTAAATATATAATAGACACACGCTTGGCCACAATCTTACTTAGTCGAGATTTTGTAACTTCGACACAAGAGAATTGTTGCTATTAAGTTTCTTTGCTTTTGCTTTTTTCAAATTAGTCCATTTATTATTGAGGGTGAGATTTTTTTGTATAAACGAAAAAAATCTCTAATTTGTTTTAGTTCGAAGCCACGTGTAGCGGAATGTGGTAACTGTAAAAATATATTACGTCGCGGTAGGTACAGCACTCCATTTCAAGGAGTCACTCTGTTTGGAGTGACATTTGTCATTTATTAATGATAAAGACAGATAAGTCACTTTTCAGTATATGAAATTTGATAACATGACATTGCTACTGAATTTCATTTTTTACCGACTTCAAAATGGAGGAGGTTCTCAATTTAACTGTATTATTTTTGTTGTACGTACGTTACGGCATCGGCATTTGTGAACCGATTTTGTTGATTCTTTTTTTGTTGGAAAGAGGGTACCACAGTATTGGTCCCATTTAAATTTGAACAAAATTTTCCACCTATAAGGGGACATGGCATGGATTTTATTTATTTATTTATTTTATTTCTATAAACTTTAAAAATATTACATACACTGATTTCTTTACACCCCTAAAACTTTACTGGTTTGTCTGGGTGCTGCACAATCCTCTTATAAATAATACAAAGTAACTTATTTTAAGCACGAGTATAAAATTTACACAACAATGATATGTATGTTATCGTCTCCTATCATTTTTCTTTGTCGGTAGCAAAAGAAAACAAAACAACTAATATCGCCATTCGCAACACAAAAACCCGTTCCTGGACTCGCTTGATATTTTTTAAATGATTTTTAATTAAATGTTTTAGATTTACCTGTGTTATGCTTTTTTTTAATTCAAAAGGTAAAGTGTTGATTAATCTAGGTACAATAAATTTGGTAGTCCTTTCTCCATAAAAGTTATTTGCTGATGTTATTGATATCATCTGTGAAGTGATTTGTGAATCCGGTTTCGTGCACTTTCCGGTAACTGATTTCGTTGAAACTTGGCAAATAGATGTAATTCCACGGACCTTTGACGTCGGTTTTTTGTAATTCTTTTTTACGATTATCAAGTGACGTCACTTTCTTCTACTTTCGACGAATTTCCAGACTAAATTGCTGTTTAAATGAGATTAGTTATCGCATCGCATCAGAAGGATTGCGTCTTCAAATCACTTCGGGGTCACCAATTTGGGGAATTTATCGTTCGCCCAATCGAATAATGAAACGACCTCTTGATTTTCATAAATTATATCGTTTCATAATTTTATAAAACAATTTGAAATCGATGACATAAGTGACAATCCACTCTTCTTCTTCTTTTAAATGTTATGGCTCCATCGAAATAATCAGTGACTTTGCCAATGTCAAGTAAAAATAACTATGTACGGTAGTTTAATATTATTATAAAAATTATAATTTTTCGCAAATAAGACTTGTCCGACAATCCACTCTAAAACATTATCGAATATGTTGACAAGTGTAACACTCGGCGATTCTCGTCCAACGAGACTGCCACAGCGAGCTCGTCATAATAGGCGGCTTCTAAAGCCGTCACAGCATAGTTTTAGCAACATTGATCGTCAAGGTTTGAATTAATTAATGTCATTACAGCCGATTCATTGACACTATTGAGACTTAACTGCCATTGCTAATAGATTTTTACCAGAATAACAAATGTTATCATGATTGCTATATGATCTCAAGTAGGATCATTTTAAGAAAATTAGCAGACTTGGGAGCCAGTTGGTCACCACAGGTATCATTGAAGCGATGCACCAGTGGTAGCGGATCTTAACGAACTTCAAGCCAATGATTGGCTAGAAACTACACAAGACCGAAGATAGTAGCGTGATGTCGTTTCGGAGTTTAAGACACATTTCGCACGTTTGGTGTAATAATGTAATATCTGCAAAATGACCACTTTTCAGGAGAGAGGTTTAAAGATTGTAACGAAAATTATTCGGTTACTTTTTATACTTGTTTTTTGAAATATAATGTCAAGTGACGGGACGAACGTAAGCTGCACGCCTGTCCATAACAGTTTCAGCTTTAAATCGCAAAGATCTGAGGCTCACTGGCAATGCGCCCGTCACCCTGAGACATAAGTTGACAAGTCCCATGGTCCCATGTGCCTGTAATTTCACCAGCACCCTTACCATTCTAAACCGGAACGCACATTACTGCTTGGCGGCAGAAATAGGTAAGGTGGTAGTCCTTATCTGGACGAACTCTTTGACAAGGACCTCTATTGCTGCTAAAATTTCACACTTACATAATCGTTTCATGTAGTCCGTATTATTTCTATGATTTTCATATTATTATGATAAAAGCACTTTTGACATATGATCACATGTGGATTTGTTATACTAAGGGTATAAATTTGGGTCGCTTGGTCTGTAGTATTTTCCTTTCAATGCAATGTCTGATTTAGTGTTGCCCAAAGCAACACCAAGACGAGTAAACCCCAGTCTTGGTCTTGGTCTTGCGTCGGTAAACCTGGTGTTGGTCTTGGTCTTGGTATTGCACACTCAGTCTTGATCTTGGTCT